CCTGCTAACTTCTAACTCCGTTAAATGTCATAAATTCCGTTTTCATGGATGCCTGGATATTAAACTCAATTGTTACACCTGGTAGAGCAGAACGCTGATCATTTTATTAAAGATGAAAGACTTTAGACAGTTTTTCAACTCTCAATAATGCCATAGTGATCGTTTGATATATGGACCTGCAGCGGAGTTTAGGTCCAGACACGGCTAGTGACGTCAGACTGAACAATCGGATAGGTATAGGCCCAGCAGCCTATACCTATTGCAGCATAACTAAGGGAGGATTCAAGGTCACCTGATCTAAACCTAACTGTATACTTTAGCAAAAAGGAAAGTTTTAAGCCTAATCTTAAAAGTAGAGATAGTGTCTGTCTCCCAAACCCAAGCTGGAAGCCAGTTCCACAGAAGAGGCTGAAGGCTCTGCCTCCAGCTTTCTTCTTATAAATACTCTAGGAACACAGAGTAAGCCCGCAGTCTGAGAGTGAAGTAGTGTAATGGGGTGATACGGTATTATAAGGTCATTAAGATAACATTGTTCAAGACCTTGTATGCAAGGAGTATGTTGAATACAATTCTGGATTAGGAAGCTATTCAAGAAGCTATTCTTAAGGAAGGGAAACAGGGAGAAGGTATACAGAATTGGAAAAGAACTTGGCTGAACAGTGGTTTTCAGCCAGTGGTGTTGGAGATCTTGTCAAAATTGATGGAATTATGGATGCAGAAAAGTACCATCAGATTTTAATCCACCTTGCGATAATATCTGGTTGCATCTGATTGGCAGCAGCTTCATTCTTTACCCTGATAATGATCCCAAACACACTGCCAGGGCAGTAGAAGCTTACCTGGACAGGATAACACACAAAGGAGCACCATCAGTCATGTTACAATAACTCTGTGTACCTATTTCCCACTTTCCTAGCAAAATGTAAGAGTGGAGAGTGGCTCAAGATTTTTGCACAGCACTGTATTATCTTTGTGCTAATCCATACACTGTGTTTACACTGCATATTACTGCCAAACACCTACCTGCTGCCATGCTGTGGAGTTATATTTCTGGAATCGCCCATAAGGGGATAGATGTACACCATTACACACACTGAAGGTTTAACTCGGTAAAATACATCAGGCATTACTCTGACACCCAGGTTGACAATAAAAAGGAGGCAAACGTCAGTGGGACACAGAATGTCAAGGAGAGAATAAGAAAAAGATTCACATGGGAAATATAACTCGTCTGGGCCATCAGTGATATAAACTAGACCTCTGCTCTGTCTGAAGGACAAAATTGGGGCTTATTCTGCCTGTGTGTGTTTGTGTGTGTTTGTGTGTGTGTTTTAAGGCCGTGGGTTTAATCACTTCAGGGATTTCTGTGTTTACAGGAGTTGCTTGAAAAGGTTTGCTCTTATTGACTATCCCCGTCCAGCTGTTCACTCTCTTCCGGCAAGGTGTCTCTTGTTTGACACCGTCACACCCATGAGGTTCAGCTTGACATTTCCATGGCGACAGTTTACAGCCCACATTATCACTGTGGGGTTTTTCTCCAGTTTATTCTCATTGTCTATTCTAGACAAACCAGTATGTAAAACACATCAGTCATTATGGTCTACACCAGAGGAGTCTTTCCGGCAGTATCGGAGAAGCCGCGATGAAGAGAAAGTTTATGCTTTCATGAGGAAACCAAAGGGTCAGCCACCATTGTGTGATTCATCAGTGAATACAAGCAAGTACTATTTATAGGAAAATGTCAGTCATTGGGAGACTGAGAGAGGAAGCGGTGAAGGTAACTTTATTTATATTCATGTTTTGTGGCTGACAGCTCGATGGCCTTCAATAACCGTGCCATTTAGAAAATCATCATGTTTTCCTCAGATAGAGGAAGGGGAATTAGGAAAGTCGAGATGCTTTCTACATTCGTTGCTGACAGTCAGTTGGAGTTGCCCGGGATTTATGGGTTGCAGTCGCAGAGACAGAAGTGCTTGTGGTATTAAAACACACAGCTGTGTTGGGCTAATAAGGAGGCAGGCTTTGTTGCTTATGTAGCAGAATCATTTGCTTTGTGGCTTTATGGTTAACAGTGTTTGTCTGTTGCCTGCTGTTCCAACATTTTGTCAGCCACCTTTTCTAGAAGGTCAGTCGTAATGATATGGCATCCCTGACGACCCCTAAAACCACAATGAGGTTGACATTTATAGATGTTTGATAGACTGCTGTGCACTTTGGTGCCGACTTTTATAGTCCTGCAAGGTGAATAAAATGCAGTCAATTTGGCAATCCGTAGACTTCATGTGTTATAGTCATCTGTTGATATATAGTACAGTGTAGACTGTGACGACTATGATTGGTCCGCTTGGTGCCATTATGAATGTCCAATAAAAACACAGCACACTACTCTATAATTCTTAAGTTAGACAGGAATCTTGAGCTATAACAGCTTTAATCAGTTGCAACATCACCCTCTGTATAGCTGTGTGTCTGAGCTTCTGTGCTGGACTATCTTACCTGTACATTTACAAAGGACAAAGAAAGCAAAACGAATATGTAAAAATTCCAACACTAATCCCTTAAAAGTAAATGCTGCCCAGCTGCCTCGCGCTTTCAGAGTGCCGCTTGTTCATTTTCATTACCTCCAACACAATCTGCTTGCAATCAAAGTTGCAGTGATTACAGAGTGACGTGGACATAGAAGATATTCTTATTGAATTGAATAATTAGAGTTGTTATAAAACAACTCTGGAAAAACAGGATCAAAGTCCGTGTCACCACGTGGTAACCATCATGGTAATAGCTCTGCCCTGGTATGTGAGCCGTTATTTGCAAAGCCTGTATATAAATGAGTAAAACATTCAAAACTTTTATGCGAACCGTATTCGCCACTCTCATTGGTCGTTGCATCAGTCGCTCACCTGGAAGTTGAGAAAGTTTGTCTCTGGTCGCCTGTGGATACTCCGCTGTGGTTGCGTTCACTGTGAACACAGTACATATGCTTTCAGTGACTCTCTTACCCAGGGGTGGGACAAACTGTGTATGTGTGTCTGCTGTGCTCTCTAACTGGGAAGCTCTCATTTTTACATGTCAGGTGAATATGTTAATCGCTACACTGCAGAGCAAAGTTTAGTCAAAGGTTCCTTTATGCTTAATCTTCATAGTCCAAGCATTTTCACCACTCAATATTTGGTAGATGTGAAAATTCACCAGCTACTCAGAGTCTTTTTCAATAAATGTGACATTTTATTATTACTCTAGCTGATGGGAGCTAAAGTGGCCTGTGACATTTAATGTTTCTTTACCCCGTTTCACCTCTGCTACACTAAGAGCTTTAGCAGCTCTGCGTCTGGCCTCACAGTCTCACCATTACTGTTTCTGACCGCTGTCTCATTGTGTGTATGCGTGAGCGTGAGAGCGGGAATCTTACAGACTTTTTCCTCTTGATGCAAGCAATCCAAAACTGGGACTGAACACGCCGAGTTTTAAAAGCCGCAGATCACCAGATTACAACTAGACAAAATCTGCTCTGTCCCAAATAATCTGGGCTCTTCAACTGCACAAGAACAGGGAAAAAGGGAAAAGCTTTTTTTTATTTCGTTCTTGTATTCAAACCCCATGTTTTCTTTCCTCGTCTCTTCACAGGTTTCAGGAGAAATGAGGAGATGAGAGCGATGGAGGTGCTTCCCATCCTCAAAGAGAAGGTTGCCTTTTTGTCAGGTAAGGTTATGTGTGTTTGTCTGGTCTCAAAAATGTACCACCCCCTGCTGTCTGATCATGGCAAATAAAGCTAATAGAGCCTGATGTATACTTTGTACTACTTAGTTTGTATACACACACACACACACACACAAGACAGTTGCTAGGTAGTAAGCTGTACTTTTGACTTCCTCTTTTTCTTGCGCACAGACACGCACACAGTAACAAGCTGTGCAGGGGTCAGACTGAGGCCCAGACACTTGGCTCTTAACCTGTCTTTAAGCACACGCATGTACACCCAGTTGACACACAGCACACACGCTGACATGCACACAGATATCTGTTGTTTGACCGTAATCAGCAGGATAGTTAGCGTAGAGAGCTACAGCAACCACGTCCGACACACACTCGCACTCACACACTCGAGTGGTGCCAGAGAAAACTCACAGGAGGCTGAGCTGGAGATGCGGATTGCCAAGAACATCCAGCAGGATTATTTGCACAACACACAAAAGCATTTTTTTTTGAGTGCGTGTGTGTTACTGTTACGTTTGTGCGTATTCGTGCAAATGCAAGCACTCAGATCTCCAAAGAGCCAAATTGAATAACAAAGTGAAATCGGTGTGTGCGTCGTGCGCTGGCAGAGAAGGTCACAGTTAGAAACACAATGACGAGGAAAAGGACTCTGACAAACAGCGAAATTGAGAGAAGGAGAGTCAGGGCAGCGTTGCCATGGAGATGACTTACTGCCAGCTTCCCATAGTGGACACTGGTGGAATAATTGGCTTTGAAATGAAGGTAGAGGAGGGGCCGCTAGTGAAAAGCAGGGTAAATAAGCTAAGCCTATTATCCCCAATTTGGCCCCTTAATAAATCGGCCATGTTCGCCCTCTCTCATGTTTGTCTGTTGCCACGTGAGCGTTTGATTTTCTCCTCTGAGCGGCAGGGTCAAGCCTACAGGCGCACAGCAACCCGACTGAACTCACTAATTTGCGGGCTGAGCAGAGAGGGCCTGTGTTTATGAGTTCCCACGTGAGCGAAGCAGCCTTCTTCTTCTGCAAGTGGCCAGAAACTAGGAGCAAAATATTATTACAGCACAAAATATGACCGCAGAGAAGATAAAAGGTCTGAAAAATCCTTTAAAAGACCACAAAATATCACAAACAAACACTGCAGAATTCAAACACCATGTACAAAAAAACAGTGCACAGTTTCTGCATAACAAAATGTATGCATTTGGCTTGCTTGCTGTTTGGAGAGAGCCAATCATAAATACATGTTTGATTTATTTCTTTATCTTCTCTGTTCTTTTAAAGGAACAGACTCTGCTTCTCCTTGTTGTGTCGTATTCTGTTATAGTGCAGTGTTAATATTAGATATGGCTTTAATAATATTCAGAAAATGCTCAGTCTAAACAAAACCCTTTCAGACTGCTCTACATGCTTCAATTCAGACAGTAGTTGTTTTGTTTTTTTAACATTGGGCTCTGTGACATCAGGTGATGTCAGGCACGTAGCTATGGCTATGCGAATAGACTGTATACAGAAGATGGATGTAGCCACCAGCGTTACCATCTTGATGTTTAGAAGATGTGACTCAGAAGGGCGACTAACTGAGAACCTGAACACTGCACATTTAAATGCTACCATGTAGCCATTTACAAGCAATGTTGGGCCGTGCACAAAAATGGTGCGTCACAAATGACTTGCTACTTTGTTTCTAAAGCAGTGCATTGCCTTACTTAAACGTTGCCAGGAAAAAGTCATTTGATATAATAGACGTTACATTGTTTTCACATTACTCAGCAGCATGGCCTGAAATGCTTTGTCACATAATTACCAAGCTTAGGCTACAGTCTCACACCCTAAAATAAATCATTATACTAACACGTGCGCACACAAGATCTTTCTTCTAGCGATTAATTACGAACACAAAGCCAATAAAACAAAGCAGCGTTGAGAACCAGCCCAGAGAGGCTTTAGAGCAGTCGTCACGGTGATCGCGCTGTAGAAAAAGGTGCAGGTAGAAATGTAAGCTACAAGCCGGTCTGCTCATCGCTGCCTCTGTGTTGAGCTGGGCTCATCTTTAACTTCACTCTGAGTTCTTCTCGGCTCTCTGCACAGATGTTGTGTTAGCAGTATAATTCAGTCGTTTCTGCCCTGGATGGTGTTTGCACTTGGCCATCGCACTCTCATTCTTTCTGTTTACTGAAAATCAAAGGAATCTTCATATTTGAAGAAACTGTTTCCTCCTGCCTGCACATAGACTGAAATCAGTCTGTTCAGCCATCGTGCAGATAATTGAAGAAACTTTGTAGAGTTACGCAGTGTGATGATTCACTTAACACAAAGTAAAGCTTTCTCCTCCTTTCTGGCCCTAATGGTGACAATCATTTACAAAACAAAATGTGTTTAGTAGCTCATCAGGAGTAATGGAGGTCATAGAGAGGGGCGTCAGGGGTTATTTCTGTATGTTTTGTTTCAGACAGTGGATGAACTGAGGGTCTGCACAGGACTCTGTCAAAGATAAAAGGTCCACTTCTCGTCTGTGACCTTCATCCTGTTAAGATAGTTTTTCCCTTTTTTGCTCATAAATGAAAGCTTAACTTCATTATCATCACCAGCTGTGTTTTGTGTTTATTCTTAATTAGTGAATGTAAAAGCACACCACTACTACAGTGAAGAACTGCTGCACGCGCTGCTCATCAGCTAACGTGAGCGCTGCCGTGCCGCCGTGCAGTCTCAAACAGCCTGTAGCGTGGCCACGAGCCCATTGCAAGCAGGTCCACTTCATTTTTCACAGCTCGACTGCACAGAGAGACAACGATGAAACACTTTCAGTCTAAATTATCTGCTGTCCTTTTTAAAAACAAAAACAAAAAAACAACCAAAAACTTCTGTTTTTTACTTCTTTTTTTTTTAAGCATTCGGTTCAGCGGCCTCGGGGTCACACAGATATCTAGCCTGTCGCTCATTTTTTGGTTAGCTAACTGCCTACGATCATGTCTGTTATGCTCCAGTGGTGCAAATGATACCACTAAACCTGCAAAACTCCACATACACACTTGTTCTTACTCCAATTT